ATAAAATTTGATTTTTCCAGTTTTGATGACTTTTTCAGCTTTCTAAAAATGATATGATACTACTTTCGAATTACAATTCCAAGGTAAATTTGCATACTGAATTCGATGCTCATGTCGAAAGTACTCAATATATATTGTTAAATAAAGGAACAATTACGTTTTAATTGCTTTTGAGTGGCTAAGGAAGTGTTTCAAGCTGCATCATTCGAAGCACAGTTCTGAAGATCTTTCCAAGACTTTATCGAGTTCTTAGTTCGTTTGAGTACTTAAATATATCTACTGCACCTTGAGTACAGGAAGCTTTATTTGACATTAAAAGAATTTTTCAGAAGAATGAGAAACAAATAACTAAATCGGACAAAATTTTTTATCAAGAATTATTACACGCCTCGTTTATGTCATTGAGCTGCTTTGATGTGATTCTAATACGAGTGGTTTTTGTCTTCTGAGGTTTACTTCTCAGCTTTACCACAACACTTGTGAAATCTACCTAGAATTAAAAACACTTCTGGAGCTTTTGAAAAGGGGATAATGTGTTCTATGTGCAGTGCAAAGCGATGGCTGTATTTAGATAATGAAGAGAAGAACCCGGAATTATGCTTCAAAGATCGCTGTCGAATACTTACTGTTAAGTTTCGGTAAATTTTTACAAAGTGTAAAATACAATTTTGACAGTGGTGGTTGATAACATTTCACATCTATGGTCGAATGAAGTTTTGTTATCGACAGTACTTCAGCTAAATGAAATTTTTCATCGTGAGCAATCACGACAAAAACACCGATTTGCAGACTGTTGATTGAATGGATTTGCATGACAGATGATTTAATTAGGTGTTTTGGAGTAAAATCAAACGTTGACGAGATTTTCGAGGTTGACGTTGATTTACAATTAATGTAACCAGCATAAAGCGGTCGAAAATCATGGAAACCTCGAATTCCGATTATGGGGCCTAATAAATATGAAAAGAAAGGTTGTTTAAAGTCATTTTCGCATTCATGTTTAAATTTTTAGTCTATATCTCATCTGTATTAGGTAGTTTATTCCATCTAATACTTAATTTATCATCATACATTTGTTGTACAGTACCCGAACTCAGAAATTTGATTTCGATCGGACGATGTGGTTCTCCACCTGACGGACGAACAACTCCCATTCGATCAAAGTGTTTGAGGGAAAATTCATAAAATTGTTTGGCGTCACGAAATGATTTCTCATGCCCATGTCGAAACAAGTGTTTTGTTGCACTTGATTTTATTGTTGCTCCAATACCATCAGCAGGACCCTTCCCGTGAGATGTCGAGGAGAAAACCCAGTTGGCTTTGATACCAAAATCTTGCTGATGATATGTTAAGCTAAACATGTTTGAATTATTTTTAAAATGTGCTGATGCACCATCACTCAGATATGTTATTGTTTTTACATCTTTAAACACTCGTTTAACATATTCAACTATTATTTGCTGGGTACAGTACACAAATGCTGTGTCGTGCACGGTATGATCAGATATTATGCCCATATTTCGTTCTTCGTCACCAACTTTAAGTGAAACTGTGAAGAGAGTTGCTTGGTTTTGGTGCCAGTGCATTGACTGAATTTCCCGCTGCACAATGAGAGTAAAATTTTCAGCGAAATCAATTTGGACTAAAGCCGTACTTTTATCATTGTTTTCTCTCAATTGTTGAATGAATGATTTTTGTTGATTGGTGACAAAGCTGTGCCATAGAAAAACTGGTCATTGATTGTCTAATACATCAAAAAGAGATTGGATATTGCCAGTAATACGTTGAAGATCAACCTTTTTATCAACTCTTTTCCATACTGTCCATGTCGCTTGATCGTCCTCATCACCGTCAAAAAAATTTGAAACTATTTCTGATGGTTTGGTTGATGAACATTCAACACAATCTTGACTGAAACAGGCTTCATTAGATAAACCACATGTGATTTCAGAGATGAACGCGCTGCCCTTCAGCTGTTTATTCAGGATTCTCGAGCATGCCTTAGAAGAAAAGAGTTCATTATAATCACTCAGTGATACCAGTTTCTACGAAATACCTGTAAGAGTAGATTGAAATTTTCATGATATAAACACATGCAAATATCATGAGGATATGTTTTCTTTACCCATTTCGGACGAAGTTCATAGAATTTGCTATGTCCAATTTTATATTCGGAAAAATCATTTTTAAATTTTTCGAAGGCTTCCGAAATGGACATTTGAAGAAATTTTAATGCAACCGGTTTTTTGTTGACGCGGATAACATCCTTTTTATTCGGTGACTGCCTGGAAATATTATCATCGAGATAAAATTCTATTACTTTATCAATGACAGTTTGCTGCAATGGCTCATTTCCTCGATAACAATCAGGCATCGCCAAAATGCCCTTAGTGGCGCGTAATTCGAGAGCTTGACGAGCTTGTCTTTCCGTACAGCCAAAAAATTCCTCTATTTTCACCCTACCCCATTTCTCGGGTGAAATTGTCAGGAGACGTACTTGATCCAGATATTCACTATGAATGTACAAATCTTTGAATCAATTCATCGATTTCCGTAAGTGTCAGATTTTGCGAACTCAGACTGGTACTACTTGTTAACGTCGGTAGCGCACTATCCACTAATTTTCGAAGATGTATGATCGCATCGTTTGTAGACCGAAGAACCACCTCTGTCTTTCTCCAAAAATTCAATGCAATTAGTAAAAACTCTAGTAAAAAGTGTTTCGAAGACTTACATATCAGCTAATGGTGGAATTCCGACAACTTGAAATATTTCGTTCGGGATATTTTTGGCCGATTTACGATTTGCCGATTGTTGGACATGCCTATTCTCTTTCACAGCTTTTAAAGGAGTCAGTTTCTCCGATGAGGAACTCACATCACTGTCAACCGTAGCAGGTCGGGGTAGCGGTGTAAACTCTCGGCGTAATAGCCTCGGGAACAATGCAGGCGTTTGCTTGAACGATGATTTATCTTTGTGATCAATTGTTTTATCTTTCAGTATTTTGCTTTTATACTCGTGGCAACGAAAGCAAAGTAACTGCCCTTGTTTGAATTTAATTTTAGACAAACCTATACGTTTTCGGTATGTGATTTGCATATTTCTTGCGATTTGTTCATCCATTTGTTCAGTTCCAATTGGACGAGAGGGATTTTGTCATTTTCTTGTGCAGTTTTTGTGTCTAGTAGGATGCACGCAAAATTTTGTAGAAGACATACTATCTCTGGAAAAAATCAGTTATGCAATAATACTAAAAAAGATGATAGAATACCAAGAGGAAAACAGCCAGGGAAACTTGTAGAACACTCGATGTCAAAAGACCTCAGTTATACTCCGGATAAGACCTCCGTAATACTCAGGACTTAATGCAATACAGTTTTCCAGAACGCACCGTCCCTTATCCTTACTTTCATAGATTAAAACTGAACAAATTCGTTTTAAGTATAAGTGTCTTTTAAAAAAAACTTCAATATTCATATGGCTACAAGTACAAGATTATAGAAAACTTTTGCGCTGCCGAAGCTTCTCGCTTCATCTTCAGTCAAACTTATTCGTAAAATGTGAAAAAGTTGAACATATATATATTTGTATCTGACACGGCTCGTGCTCACTTCTGATTGGCAGCAATTTTGACCAATCATAACCCGTCACTCTCTATTGGTAACTTTTATGAATAGTTCTAACTGATCTCTCGTTATTTGTAGATATTTTACCAATAACTGCACTTTTCGAGCGTCGGAAGCTCGCAAAAAATTTTATACTTTTGTGCTTCTAATCAAATTAATATTGAAGTTTATTAAAACTGGAAAACTAGAACTTTTTTTTTTTAGAATTTCCAGTGACTAGCTGAGTACTTTCGACATGAGCATCGAATTCAGTATGCAAATTTACCTTGGAATTGTAATTCGAAAGTAGTATCATATCATTTTTAGAAAGCTGAAAAAGTCATCAAAACTGGAAAAATCAAATTTTAT